TGAGCTAGAGGCCTTGAAAAAACACGGTGCTGAGGATCTCAGAGCAGGAGATAAGTAAATAGATAAATAAATAATTTTAATGCATGAAAGCAGGTGTTTTACTAAACACATGAAGACAGTGCTGAGGGAATGCAGCTAGCTATCAGGAGATCAGGAGGAAGAGGCTGAGGTCACATGCAAGCGCTGTTAATCCTCAGAGTAGTTCTGTAAGTGAAGTTTACAGGGCAAAAGCTGAAATGCCCAGAGAGATCCCTATCAGGCCACATATCAGACAGAGCATGCGCAAATCCTATCGGCTTTCCTCTCGGCAAAATCATAAAACCCACAAGTAGGAAAGAGCTTAACGTTTCTCAGTAGAGACTTCTGAGTTTCACACATGCATGTACTATCACTTTAAAAACAAGTTTAATTATTTTTTTAAATGTAACTGCTACTATCTAGTTGTCTTTACCTGCTATTTTTCATTCAAATATTCAGAACTTCAGTTCTGGTAGGATTAATTAGTACCCATGGGAAATGAACTACCAAATAAGCAACCTTTCTTTTTTTAACTTAAAAAAAAAAAGGAAAAAAAAAATTGTTTCTTATGTACTATGATGATTTAATTCTCTCAAATTGCAGCAATCTCCCAGCTAAATTACATTTTAAATAACTAAATGTTTCACCATTTTAATCCCAATCTCTCTGCAAATCCATCCAGGATATATGTCACCAGCTTCAACCTCACTTTTCCACATAATATGGGCATGGACTACAAGGCAACAAAGAGACCAATTTTCTAGGTAAAAGTTTTGTAAAAGTGGAAATAAGCAATGCTAAGCCCTGAAAATACTGACTACGACAACATACTCAAAAGGAAAAACTTAATATTGAGCTATATAAAAACTGTCCAATGCTTTAAGCTTTCAAGCTCAAGTTCAGTCCTTCAGGCTCAAGAACGGAACTTTCCAGTAACTATTTAGTGGTAAAACATCAACAAGGGCCTATGCCAAAATATAAATATGTCAGTTATAGTCAAACATACAAAAGGACATCCTGGTTCCAATGAACCACTGGAAGCTACTCGAAATAATCTCAAAAAATTAACCTTTTGGGGGCACTTAGGTCATCATCTCAGGGTCATGAGATAGAGCCCCGCATTGGGCTCTGTGCTAGAGGTGTGGAGCCTCCTTGAGATTCTCTCTCCCTCTCCCTCTCCCTTATCCACCCTCCACTCATTCTTTCTCTCTAAAAAGAATAAAATTTAAAAATAAATTTAAAAAATAAATTAACTTTTTGTTCACTTATCAACAAATCAACAGTTTAAGAGAGTGCATGGATCTTCTGGGTTCAATGATACTGATATATACCTCCAGATGTATGCAACCCTTAAAGATTCATTTAGTAATTTTAAGTTATTTAAGAGTAGAGTAGTATAGCAAAGTAGCAGGACACAAGGTTAATACACAAAAGTCAATTGCTTTATTATATACCATCAGTGAACAAGTAGAATTTGAAATTAAAAACATAGTACCACTGATACTAGTACTCCCAAAAATGAAATACTTGGGTAAAAATCTAGTAAAATATGCACAAGATCTATATGAGGAAAACTACAAAATTCTGATGAATGAAATCAAAGAATAACTAAATAAATGAGGAGATCTTCCACCTTCATGGATAGGAAGACCCAATATTGTCAAGATATCATCAGTTCTTCCCAACTTGATGTGTATTTTCAATGCAAGCCCAATTAAAATCCAAGCAAATCATTTATTAATTCAAATTAGTAAACTGATTCTAAAGTTTGTGATCAGAAGCAAAGGACCCAGAATAGCCAACACCCTACTGAAAGAAAGAACAAAGTTAGAGGATTAATGAATGCCACCAGACTTCAGGACTTACTAACAAGCTATTGTAAGGAAGACAATGTGGTATGGGTGAAAGAACAGACAAATGGATCAATGTAACTGAAGAGAGAACCTGACACAGACCCCCCCCATAAATAACACAAGTGATCTTCACAAAGGAACAAAGACAATACAATGGAGCAAAGACAGTCCCTTCAACAAATGGGCTTGAAAGACTGGCATCCACTTGCAAAATGAATCTAGAGAGACCTTTACACCCTTTACAAAAATTAACTCTAAATAGATCATAGACCTAAATATAAAATGCAAAATTAATATAAAACTCTGTTCTGACAGTCCCAAGCCTACTGATGGTAGCACCCTCGGTTAGGAATATCTGAAGCACACGTTATCACTTGGAGTGAGCTCCACAGACATTTTCCCTACTATAGCCCCTACTTTTGGCTGGGCCATTTCTTGGGTTCTAAGCTCAATCACAAAATGCAGTTCACCAAGACACCACTACAGAAATTTGAGGAACCAGATTTATTACTCATAAGTTCTGGATAGTACACAGCCTCCAGAGGGTCACAGAGCAAGGTCACTGGTAGAGAAAGAGAGAGAGAATGGACCCAGGGCTCTGCCTTTACTAGGTTCCAAGGATGGTGTTGGGGGTTTCACAGGTTCACTCTTTACTGGCTAAATTAAAACATGAGAACAAGAATTAGGGCACTGAAAGGGAGAAGTGGGATCTCTCAAGCATTCACTTACCTAGGTTACCCAGAGCTTTCTGAAACAAGGACCTTCATGTGTGGGAATGACCTAGTTCCTTCTCTGGTTGTCTTATCAGAAGCTGTGTCATACAACCAGCAACACGTTTATTCAAGATGGATGCCTTTTGAAGTAAATGCCTCCACAACCAAAATGTCAGGAACTTATACTACAAACTCCTATAAGAGGAAGTAAAAGAAATTCTAGATGACCCTGGACATGGTGATCATCTTTTTAGGTACAACATCAAAGACACAATCCATGATAGAAATAATTGATAAGGGCGCCTGCGTAGTTCAATTGGTTAAGAGTCTGCTTCGGTTCAGGTCATGATCCCAGAGCCCTGGAATTGAGCCTCACATCAGGCTCCCTGATTAGTGAAGAGTTTGCTTCTCCCTCTGCCCCCTCCCCTGCTCATGTTTGCTCACTCTCTCTCTCTGAAATAAATAAATAAAATCTTAAAAAAAAAAAAAAGAATTGATAAACTGTATTTCTTTAAATCTAAAATTTCTGCTCAGTGAACGACAGTATCAAGACAATGAGAAGATAAGCCACAGACTGGGAGAAAACATTTACCAAAAAAAAAAAAAGAAAAAAAAAAAAAAAAAAAGAAAATCAAAAAAGGACTATTATCCAAAATATACAAAGAACTTTTAAAACTCAACAATAAGAAAACAAACCATTCAGGTTAAAGACAAACAAACAACAACAACAACAAAACCACGGGTCAAAGACCTTAACAGACACCTCACCAAAGAAGATCTAGAGATGGCAAATAAGCACATGAAAAGATATTCCACCTCCTGTTGTCATGGAAATGCAAATGAAAATAACAATGAGGTATCAGTACATGTCTATTAGAATGGCCAAAATCCAGAACACCAATACCATCAAATGCTGGTAAGGATTTGTGAAGCAACAGGTACTCTCCTTCAGTGCTGGAGGGAATGCAAGATGGGACAGCCACTCTGGAAGACAGTTTGGCAGTTTTTTGTAAAACTAAACATACTGGTGCCATACAATTCACCACCAATTGTACTCCTTGGTATTTACCCAAAGGAACTGGAAACATGTCCACACAAAAACCTGCACAGGAATGTTTACAGCAGTTGTACTGATAAATGCCAAAGCTTAGAAGCAACCAAGATGTCCTTCAGTAGGTGAATGGATAAATTGTGCTACATCCAGACAATGGACTATTATTTGCTGCTAAAAAGAAATGAGCCATTAAGACATGAAAAGACATGGAGGAAACGTAAATGTATATTACTAAATGAAAGAAGGCAATCTAGAAAAAGCAAAACTGTGGACAATAAAATAAAAGATCAGTGCTCGGGGGTAGTGGGGGAAACAGGATGAGGCAGAGCACAGAGGGTATTTAGAGCGGTGAAAGTACTGTTTGGTACTATAATGATGGTATGTCATTATACATTTGTCCATAAAATATACAACACCAAGGGTGAGTTTTAGGTAACCAATGGACTTTGGATGACAATGATGTGTCAGCACAGTTCATCCTTGGTAAAAATGTACCATTCTGGTAAGTGATGTTGATAATGGGGGGAGCCTATACATGTGGGGAGGCATTTTTGAAAAGAAAACAAAGAGTAAAACCAGAGAGGTGGGGTAAAGATCATACCAGAGAAAAAGGACAACCCACACATACGTACCTACAGGGAACCCACACATCTCTCTGGAGCCTTAAGACTCCTTGCCTGGGCCTCTTCCTCTCCCCATACTACTGTGAACCTTTTCAGATTAAGTAAACTTTTTTTTTCTCAGCTTTTTTCCTACTCTGTTCAGATAAAGCTCAAAGATCTACACTGTGTACATCTGATACACAGAAACTTCCCACAGTGCAACCAAATTCCAAACCAATTTAATCCATCCAAATGACCTGTTAATTCAGCTGACTACTATGTTTAAGCATAACTAGCCTAATTCAGTCTTACCTTCTGGAGAAAAATTACACATTCTTCAAAACTGTTTACCATCTGAGCTTTGAAACATAAAGAAAACTTACTAAGCCATTCAAACATAAATTCAAAAATCAGAATATAATAAATAGCCATTCCCAACACCCCTTCTCCCACAAACAAAATCAACCTCTAACATATCAGCTAGGATTCTCCGAAGGCCAGAAATGCCAATGAGCACTAAAACAGATTACTATAATTCTAATAGCATGCAAAGATTCTCTTCTACTGAAGGGAACTGACTCCAGAAAAATATTAATCCAGATCAACAAAATAATAGGCAATGTTGTAATTTTACAGGTTTTTTTACATTAGAATTTAAATGAATTTAAAATATTACATCCATCTGCTTTGAAAAAACAAAGAAAATAAAGAAAACACAAAACCCTCCAAATTCAAATAACTATATACATTTGGGGCTCCCAGCTTTGCGCAGTGGCAGTATCGTAGCCAATGAGGTTTATCTGAGGTGCGATTATTGCTAATTGAAAACATCTGGGGCGTCCAGGTGGCTCCATCAGTTAAGTGTCCAGCTCTTGGTTTCAGCTCAGATTATGATCTCAGGGTGAGAGAGACCCCTGAGTTGGGCTCCCAGTTGGGATTCTCTCTCCCTCTCCCTCTGTCCCTTCCCCTGCTAGCTCGCTCGCTCGCTCTCTCTCTCTCTCTCTCTCAAAAAAAAAAAAAAGGATATATTCATGTTTTGTATTTAGAGCCACAGTCCTTAACGTCTGTAGAGGACCTGACAACATGTGAAGTATTTTCACATACATTATGCAAAACTATGAAAAAATCAATTCAGGGACCCCTGGGTGTCTCAGTCAGTTAAACATCTGCCTTGGGCTCAGGTCATGATCCCTGGGTCCTGGAATGGAGCCCCACATCTGGCTCCCTGCTCAGTGGGGAGACTGCTTCTCCCTCTGCCCCTCCCCCCACCCATCCCGGCTTGTTCTCATGCTCTCTCTCTCTCATAAATAAAATCTTCTAAAAAATTAAATAAATAAAACGTATTAGAAAAACAGCCCACAGGAAGGAAGGCAAAGCCTAACATCCCCGTAGGAATGGCTAGATGCAGCACTTCAGAACACAGCCTGACTGAACCCCCAGAATAATCCCACGAGGTAGGTATTCTTTTAATTCCCATTTGACAGCTGCAAAGGTCATCATACCACTGGCAGATGGCAGCAGTAAGCATCCAACCCAACTCTCCCTGACTTGAGCCCCAGGCTCCAACATTGCTACAAAGCCTCCGGAGAGGGATAAAAAGGGATAAATGCCCAGCCTAATTTACCAATACCTGCCTTTATTTTATATATTTACTGTGTATAACATGAGGCTGGCTTATAAAAGCTGTCTTAATGTTTAACATATGTGCTTCCTCCTTCCACCCCTACCTAATTTTTTAGAAAGATGGGCTTTCTGGATATCTTTCCATTTCTTCTACTTCTTCTAAATACCCAAGAAACTCAAACTACTGGCGACACACAAGGGAAAGTGCTGCCTTTCAGACTCCGAGGAAGACAGGAAAGCTGCATCTCCTATGCAGTTTCCCCACGGGTAGGCAGCAGTGTGTCCCTCTCGTGGCCTTGCCCAAATGACCTTAGCCAGAAGTTGTCCATAGGAAGGGATGGCACAGCCGTATCTCCCCATCTGTCAAGAGAGGCCAGCAATCTGGACTTTTATGTGAAATCCAGATTTTTAGAACTTGGCTACTAATTCAAACTTCCAGAAACACTGCATAGGGTCAACATGCGCCTAAGGGTGAACTCCACCCACCAGCTACGGGCTTGTGATGCCCAGGCTTCCAGTGGAGAGTAGCTCAGACATACACCCCTATCTTAAAATATTCCCCATGGAATACACGGAAGATATAGCCCTTGACCTCCAAGAGACAAGCAGGGACAATGGACACATCATTTCAGGACAATGACAAATGGAAAGGGGAAGAGGTCTGTGAAGGAGAACACAGCAGCCAGCAGCCACATCTATCTCCTGACCACTGGCTTTCAGGGAGCAAGTCTGGGAAGTGGCAGTATAAAAATCCGAGTAACATTACCCTTCGGTATCTAGAGAAGAGAAACAAGGGCTCTGAACTATACGAACACACACAAACAAAAATTCAATAGCCCTGCCTTTGTATATCCAAGGTAACTCTTAAAATAGTCAAGCCTTAATGGAGCCATAGCAACAGGAAAAGCTTACCTACTTAGCGGCATGGTGGTATCATAAGAAATAAACTCCCCTCTACTCAGCACCATCTATGTTCCCAATACAAAGCCAAGTGCTGCAGGAATGTCAGCTCATCTCAATCTCACAACTACAGGAGGACGCATTATGTCCAATTTACAGATGTGGAAACTGAAACTCTGAAGTCCCAAAGTTTGGGAAAGAGCCAATCATCTGGAGCCAAATGATGCCTATCCTATTAAAAACTCACCAACCCGGCCAGAGAGACTCAGGCTATTATCGGAGACAGATAACGGGATGCCATGAAGAACAACTCATTAGTTACAGTAACTGAAAGTATAGAACCAATATTTTTTTCTAAGATCTTATTTATTTATTTATTTGACAGAGAGAGAGAGGTGAAAAGTAGGCAGAAAGGCAGGCAGAGAGAGAGGGGGAAGCAGGCTCCCCACTGAGCAGAGAGCCCAATGCAGGACTCAATCCCAGGACCCTGAGATCATGACCCGAGCCGAAGGCAGAGGCCCAACCCACTGAGCCACCCAGGCGCCCCAGTACAGCACCAATATTAAAAGAAACCCACAGTAGGCCCTGTTGATTATGAAATTTAATTTTGTGATAAAGGCAGTTTCACAAAAACATACAAAAGAAAGCATAAGGACTATTCAGTAAATGAAGTCGAAATAATCAACAGCAAATTTCAGAAATACCCTTTACACTCCCCAGTTTATACCATCCAACAAAATACATTCCAAATGAATCAAGAAGTTACTTTTCCACCAAATTATATAACCATGATAAACAAAATATACATATGCAATGACTCCCTGGGGAAAGAAAATTACTTCCCAAAATTAGGCAAGATAGAAGAAACTTCACTAGCAAGAAAGCACAGATGGTTCAATTAAAAAGTAAATGTTTTCTGTGTGAAAAATAAACAGAGGATAAGGCATATTTCTGGATATACAATAGACAAAAGGTTAATATCCTTACTATACCTATGGAATACATGCACAAGAAATTGTGCAGAAGAACCAGGAGCCATCAATGGGGAAACAAAGGACAGGAACAGACAATTCACAAAAAGGAAATATAACAAGTAAAGAAATAAATAAAAAAATATCCAGGGGCACCGGGGTGGCTCAGTCGACCAGGCATTGACTCCTGGTTTCAGCTCTGGTGGTGATCTCAGGGCATTAAGATCAAGCCCCTTGTCAGGCTCTACACTCAGCACCGAGCCTGCTTGAGATTCTCTCTTTCCCTCTCCCTCCCCCTCTGCCCATCTCCCACACTCTCTCTCTAAAACAAATAAATACATAAAATCTTTTTAAAAAATATTCATGAGCCATCCAAAACATACAAATTAAACATCAACGAAGCAAGGGCCAAGAGACCAGTGGGGACAACAGACACACTGTATCAGGACAACATGGTAAACGGAAAGAGGAAGAAGCCTGCAAAGGAGAACACTGTGGCCAGCAGCCACACACATCTCCTGGCCACTGGCTGTCACGGGGCAGATCTGGGATGCGGCACACTGACAGAGTAGAAGGCCAGAGTAATGCCACCCTTACAGAAGAAATTATCACGTAAACTATAAAAAAGGTTTTTAAAATGATAATATCCGTGGCTGGTCAGATGTGGCCAAACTAATATTCCAGTATTATACACTAATATCATAAAGTGGCACAAACATTTTGGAAAGCAATATTGCAAAATTTTTCTAATTTTTCCTTAAAAAATAATCCAAAAATATGGGGGGAACATAGCTATATGCCTAACAGTTTTCATCCTAACATTTAGATTATCAGTAGCTTGAGAGCAGGGTGTCTTGCTCACCAAGGGCCAAGTACATACAGTATAAGCCTTACATAAATACAAGTGCAAATGAAGGAAAAGAAAAATATACAGTCACTGAAGATGATGGCTAAAGACAACATAGCAGGTGGCACAATTTTAAGCGGGGGCAAGAATAATAAAAGTATGTGATTACAGTCCTATTTTTGAAAGCTACATTACCAAAACTTCTGGAAGGAAATACATATAACACACTAACAGTCACTGTGTTATGAGGTTTATGGTGATCATTTTTTATTATGTTTGTATTATCTTTAAATGTAAACATTCTCCAGAGGGATTGTTACGGTTATTTAAAACACAAATTGATCCTCAAAAATTGAAGAAAAGATTTTTTAAAATGCAGTAACAGGGGCTCCTGGCTGGCTTGGTCGGTAGAGCATAGCAGCTCTTGAGCTCAAGGGTTGTGAGTCTGAGACCCACGCTGAGTTTAGAGACTGCTTAAAAAAATAAATTTTAGACCTTCCACCATATGAGGACACCGCAAGAAGGTACCAACTGTGAGGTAGAAGGAGGGATTTCCTCTGACTGCTCTAATGGCTTGACCTGGGACTTCCCAGCCTCCACCACTGGTCATGCATCCTTAGATCTTCTAATTTCTGAGATGGACAAGGCCAGGAGGGCATTTACGAACAGTCTGGATCCACCAGCCTAAAGGTGATGCCCATTCTGCCTTAGGCAAATGACAAGGGTATCTCTCCCTGATAACAAAGCTGCACAGCAATCAAATTATACCTAGAAGGAAGGGGGGTGTCAGTGGGTGACTCCCATGTGATGACGCTGAAATGGCCTGATGGGAGACACGACCCCCTGTACAGACTGGACACTCTAGTTATCCTCCACTTCCAAGTCTAGAGACACACCACTCATGTTTGCTTCTCAGACTCTGCTTTATGTTCCCATTACTGTCACACCAACAGCACCCCACGACTTGTCTTTCACATGTCCATTCAGTCAGTCATTAACAGTTGGTGGTGGTGATGTTGGTGGTTGTATGTCAGGGGGAGGGGAGAGAAAGGGAGGTGATGTTACCAATATTGTTCATGGAGGGGGCGCCTGCGTGGCTCAGTCAGTTAAGCATCTGACTCTTGTTTTCTGCTCAGGTGATGATCTCAGGGTTGTGAGATGGAGCCCTGTGTCGGGCTCTTTGCTCAGCAGGGAGTCTGCTTGAGATTTTTCTTTCTCCCCTCCCTTTGCCCCTCCCCCCCACTCATTCTCTCTCTCTCTCTAAGAAATAAATGTTTTAAAAGAAATTTTTTTTAAGTAACAACAAATGGAAAAGGCACAGAATCCCCAAACAGCTCCACATTATAGGTAAAAAGCTAAAAGACCAGCTAAAGAGAAAAGCACAGGGAGGTGAGCAGCTGACATTCATAATTTGGATGAGAAGCACCATCTCTGAGTCCTAAAACTCAGGAATAAATGAACACATCACAGGAAGCCAAAACACAGCCACTTACAGCTGCTCAGTCTGCTGTGCTTCTGGTGTTCTCTGAGCTTCTGGCTCGGGGCTCGAAGGGTTC